ATAATTTCTTTATTTCTAAGACTGCTCTCATCTTCAACCTCAGTTCTCCCCTCATCAACCTCAGAAAATTAGGAAGGCAAAAAGGTAGTTCAGTGTTTTAAAACGCGGAGGCGTGACACGAGGCGTTCCACTACCTGAAGGCGTGAGACGTAGTTCAGAACGCGGGAGGCGCAAGCCTCCTGAGCACAGGGAGGCGCAAGCCTCCTGAGCACAGGGAGGCATAAGCCTCAAGTATATATATATTTTTTATAATTATAGTGAGTATATTAACAAAAAAATAGATATTTTAAGCATAAAAACATATATAACACTAAAATAGGAAGAACATAATCAATAGATTACATAACATGGCTGTGTGGCATAATTTATTCATGCAGCTCTTTTAAATAAGGCTGAAACAAAACTACTAAAATCAAGAAAAAAAAAAAAGAAACAAAGAAACAAAAGAAATGAATAACATAACTACTAAGTACTAACCGTTGAAGCTTATTGATCCCAAAAAAAAAAAAAAAGAAACATTGCAGGCTTGCAGCTTTGTCACAGGTTCACAGCCGCCCAGGTTGGTCGGTTGGTCCAACAGCAACCTCTCTTCGATTGTAATTGAAAATAGAATAAAAAAAATAAGATCACCACATCTAAGAAATTGCAGGTTGCTCGAAGAAGAAGAAAGAAGAAGTTGCAGATTGCAAAGTGCAAAAGAAGAAGAAGAAGAAGTTGCAGGTTGCTCGAAGTTGCAGGTTAAAGAAGAAGAAGAAGAAGAAGAAGAAGAAGAAAGGTAAAGAAAAAAAAAACACATACCAGACCAGATTGCTCAAACTCGAAGTTGCAGGTTGAAAGTTGAAGCTGAGTAGAGACTTGTTCTTCACACAGGTTTCACAGAGAAAGAGTTCAGACTTCAGACTCAGTTCTCTCTTTCGAACCCCAAAGTTTGGGTTTGAAAGAGGGATATTTCCCCCTCTTTTACACTTAAAAAATAATTGTATACAATGGGGGCCATGATATAATCGTGGCCCCACCAATTAGAACATAAAAAACTTAAAACAAGTTATCTGTTAAATGTATAAAAATGACACACGTTGGAGGTGTAAGCCTCTTTCTGAAGGCGTGCCAGAGGCGTACGCCTCCCTGGAAGTGTGTGCCTCTGTCCACCCTTCTGTACATGAGGCATATGCCTCAATGGTCTGGATGCTTCTGTCATGCGCCTCCGGGCGTTTTGGGGGCGCCTCGCCGCCTCCAGGCATACGCCTCCCACGCATTTTAAAATATTGAGGTAGTTCTCTCTCTTATCCTTTCCCTTCTCGTGCTAAATTCCTCATCTCTTCAAAACCTAGCTTTAGTATTTCAACTTCACCCAACTTCCTTTTCCTCACCTTCCCTTCACCCTTATTTTTCCCTAAGGTTTCATATCATTTGGGTTCTTTACACTGCAGCCAAGCTTCCCAACAAAATCTGCCACAGCCTCATCTTTGTTATTACTCTCCACAGCACCATCTCTCCCTTCACCTTTTCTACCACCCTCTCTCTCAAATTACCTCCCTCATTTTCTTTTAAATTACTTTCCCCTTCTAATTCTTTCCTCTTAACTCTTCAAACAGGACCTCTATTAATTCCCAAATTCTTCTGTCATTCTCCTCATCAACCACCACATTCTTTCCTTCTCTCTTCCACATCTTCCCTCAAATTTAATGCATGGTCCGCTCCAACATGGGCTTGTGGCTTTAAATTAGGTTGGGCACTTGGAGAAAAGCTAATAGGCACAAAGCAAGAGTTAGTATCCAAAACCAAAATGACAATAGTAGCTGAACAATAGGGTTGGAAGAAGCAACTACTAGGAACGAAGGCTCTGTTATCCTTCCCTGTTCATTTGGTTTGGTAACACTCTCCCTACCATTATAGAGATTTGTTGGAAAGATCCACCCATCTCTATTAATGCTCTTTGATTATTCCTATTATTTTGTCGTTTATCCCCACCTGGAGTCTCTCTGACAGGCCTCTGAATATCCTCAACAATTCCCCTATGGACATCCTGCTAATAGTTTTGGTTTGCTTCTGATTTTACTCTATTCAGGCTTCAGATTTCATCCCTATCAACTTTCTTGCACAAAGTGATGTTATTGACTTCTTTCGTTGGAACCAAAGTAGAAGTTGTCATGCCCTTAGTTCCTTAATTGTCAAAGAGCAATGCAGCACTAAACACCTCCCCCCTGTCACCTTCTACCTTACCATTTTCCCCCACACTGCCAATGAGTGACTCAATATCTAAAATAGAGTCATCATCAGAAATACTGCAGTCTACCCAACCTCCATCAACCTCTTTATTGTCCTCCACTCGAGCGCTGGAGTACCTGGGATTTGGTAAATCCATGGCTGACTGGCCAAAGTGGTAATATTGAGAATCCACCCTTGAACATTACTACAACAAGGACTTATTCGAGTCGTTCTTCTTTAAGGGACCAACTAAGGAGGATGATGGATGTAACTTATTGTCTCTGGTCAGTCCTCTTAGACTTCCTGAAATTCAACTCACCTAACCACTTAAGTCCCTACGTGCTCCAGTTCGATCATCCAAACACCTAGCTTGATTCAACTAATTGATTCATCCTTTTTTGTAAATAAATTCTTTTATTAAATAGCAAAGATAATCTAATACAAGCAACCCTTGGAGAGGTGCAAGCTGCGACCTCTTCCACTAAAGAAGAAAAACAAAATCAAGTTACAGTTGTGCCCAATACAAAAGTTCCCTAGCTGCCCCTTGCTTGGCTAGACAATCAACCAAAGCATTTGGTGATCTCCCCACCCATTGTATTCTTACACACATATTCCTTGTCAGCTACCCGAACTTCTTTACTTCACTCCTCAGACACCACACTAATGACTCTGGATTTTGCAGCCAGCTTATTACTACACCTTGGAGTCCCCTTCAACCATTAGTTGTTCCACCCCTAGTTGAGTTGCAAACCATACACCTTGCAGAGCAGTTAATAATTCTTCTCTAGTAGAGTCTCCCACTCCTAATTGATTTATACTTCTCCCAGCCAGTTCTGAATTAATAGTCCCTTGTCACTCCATTTTATTATGTGGTCCCCATCCAGGGTCTGACATTGCCCCATTTTTCAAAGCCTCTATAAAGGATTTAATAGCCACTCCCCTTTCTCTACTTTCAAAAGTTTTTGAATTATTTTCCTTTTGGGGTGGAACCCTCATTGGAAAGACTCAGAGGCTTTTCAGTTACCTTCAATACTTGTCCCTCCAAAATTACTTCCTTCCCCAATCTCTCTTCTCCACATGTCACCCACCCTGCCAAGATTCCATAGTCTTCAACCTTCGAGCATTTACTCCACAGTGATGCTTCAGTTTCCATCAAGAACCAAATCTTAAGCCATAAGCCATCTGAGAACAAGTAAATGGCTCGAGGGATTTTTCCTTGCTTCATCTCCATCACTTGAAGATTAACTGCATGCAACTCTTTAAGGTTAAACTTAATAAGAACTCCAGATTTTTCCTTGCTTCATCTCCACCGCTTGAAGATTAACTGCATGCGACTCTTTAAGGTTAAACTTAATAAGAACTCCACCCAAGGTCTTTACAATTCTGTCAAGAGTATCTTCATTCCAAAGATTAAAAGGAAGCCCTATCAGTTTTAGTAAGAAACTCCCTTGAGGAACATCCATTTGGTTACAAGACATGTGCCAACTTTCGATCAACACCAGGTCATCCATGGTCTCCACCATCTCAACAGTCAAGAGATCAAACCCCTCTTCTTCAACATCTAGGACTGCATTTTGATCATCAAAAAGGCATAATAAAAGCAGGGACCTTAAGACTGAGTTTCTTCAAAATGCACTACAAGATTTTTCCCCAATCTATAACATCTCTTGCTGCTGTGAGAATGAACATCTGCCTCCTCCATACTTCTTTCTACTCAGCCATCATCACCTTCTGGCATTTGGTTGAACTAGCCACATGTACTTTTGGACTCAAGCCCCAAAACCTTTCTCCCTATGATTCCTCCCTATTCCACACAGAGTCAATCATCTCTCTTTCATTGCTGATACATACCCGTCTATACACAAGGATTTTGCACTTCCACTGATTTTCTTCCAACCTCATCAAAAACTCCTGTAACTTATCTGCAAATAACCTCCAACCTCTTCTCTCCATGCCCTCTGGAATGCAAGTCAACTATCTTCTGTTATCACCAAAACATTCTGTTATAGTATTGAACTAACCTTTCATATTCTTTATCATCTCTACTTTGTATTTCTTTCCCAATAACCCCAAAGAACTTTCCAACCTTGTTTATACAAAATAAACTGTTCCATCAATGAACCCTTTTAGCGAGAAAATAGCTTCTCACCTTCTCCTACTAAGAATATGGTGGCTCTTTTGTCTTCTCTGACCTTTAGCACAGCTAATCCACTCTTCCTTCCTTCTTTGGACCAACCTTTCATATTATTTATCATCTCTACTTCGTATTTCTTTCCCAATAACCCCAAAGAACTTTCCAACCTTGTTTATACAAAATGAACTGTTCCATCAATGAACCCTTTTAGCCAGAAAATAGCTTCTCACCTTCTCCTAGTAAGAATATGGTGGCTTTTTTGTCTTCTCTGACCTTTAGCACAGCTAATCCACTCTTCCTTCCTTCTTTGAACAAAACTTTTTTGCTTCGGTCTCCAACTCCCCTTTCCATCTCATCACTGGTAGAAACTCTCCATCTCCCCTGTTTGTGTTCTCCATCTATATGAAACCAAGTGTATTAGATCAATTGGTTAAAACATTGTGATTTTAAACTAGGAGGTGAACATTATCAGATTTTGGAAATGCACAAACTTAAACCATCAAGAGGTAAAAACATTTCATGATTAATAATTCATGGAAACATAAGAACTAATGTATTGTTAATTCATCAAAATAAGAGGCTTTTATTGGATAAAAGTAATGTTATTCTTCAAAGCAAAAGGAAGGAAAAGATACCGGATTAAAGACAAACAATAAACCTGTTTTTTCTTGGAATTTTCCTTTTTTAAATATTCAGCAAAGAACTCCTTTGTCATTGGACACCATACTTCAGCACACTGAACATTTGCAATGAATCCCCCCTTTACCAAATCCAACCAGTTAGCTTCATACAACTTAGGACCAATAAGGAAGTTCAAATCTGTTATGCGTTCATCCTCTCTCACAAGAGTTGCTGTCATTGAAAGCCAAGCAAATCAGAAAAGAAAGAGTTAAGATAGCATGATGTTCAAATTAATCCGAGTCCATCACAGACCAGTGAGCCCAAGTTTGCAATGAGACTTGGTGATACTGATAACTTTTCTGAACATGTGTGCAGGAACCACATGAACCTGCAGAAACAAAGCATGAAAACATAGAAATATCATCCAATAAGAAACTGATTGCTGCAAGAATGCATAATGCCAAGGCAATCATGCCTTTTATATAATTACCTCATCCATAAGAAGCAATCCCCATTCTCTATTTCTTATTTCCTCAATGATCTTTTCAGACTCTTCAGATCGTTTACCACCAAAGGCAACCATGTTGTATGTGGTCACAACCACACCAGCATTACCACGAAATCTTTCTTTGCTGTCAGATGTGAAACGGCAGATTTGTTCATCTCGTATGGTAGACCACAACTTGAACTGGAAAGCCCATTGATCTACAGAGACAGCATTTGTTGCTAAGCAAAGGCAACTCTTTCTTATTCGACATGCTGCAGAAACACCAACTAGAGACTTTCCAGCACCACAAGGTAGAACAATAATCCCAGACCTCGCTCTACCTGCAATTTAGAGCTGTTATAACCTTGTAATGAAACCATGGTTCGCATACTATTATTGAAAAAGTGCATGCTCACCCTACAACTCAGAAGCATGGAATCAAGAGAGAAAATATTTGAAAAATTACTAAATCAAACGATAACAATTTTAAAATTTATTCGCATGCACAGTTTATGCAGGATGGTTGCTCAACATATCAAAACATTGTAACAGGTGTACAGGTGGCAAAACATTCTAATAGTACAATTGAATAGAACACATACAGAGCAGACATAAAAAATTGCTGACTGCAAGTACTTTCTTTAGAAGTACTCAATAATCTATGAATTACCAATGTTAAATGCACTAAAGTAACTTACATATACTTGACCTGAAAGCATTTTTATAGAGCCCAGCTCACTAGTTCAATACTCACAAGGATGAGCTACATATAACCAAAAAAGAAGGAAACTTACCATTTCCAAACATTTTACTAAGACTCTTTTCCTGGTAAGGCCGTGGTTGTGCTTGAGGCTTCAGTTCCATGTTAAGATCTGGATTAACCTGCAACCTTAGAAAACGTTTAACTAATGCAAAATTTTGAAGATCAGGTAACATAAAGGATCTAAAAATCATTCATTAATATGTTAACTAACTTCCTCTTCCATACAACATTTAACTGATTGCACATACCATTTTAAGTTTCATTTCTGAACACCAATGCAAAGAAGCATAAAAAAGGAGTATATGAGAAATGTTGCTCACCGTATCATTTCTAAAGTCATACTCCTCCAACATAGGATAATTTAGTGCATTAGGCAAGCAACGTTGCTTCACATTCTCAACCTGACATTAAGAATCAATTCACATATAGTTCTTCATAGTCATAAACAGAACACCAGTCAACAGGAATAGTTTACCTGAGCAGGGTCAATTTCAAATGAATGTGTTTCTTTTTCCTCAGCTGCAGCTGCCAACTCAACTCCATTCAGCAGCTCATCATGACTACCTTCTATTTCACCCATTGTTTTGCTCACAGTAAATGCATCACTGCCATGTGAACCCTAAAAAGGAAAGAGTACAAGGTTTTAACTTCCCACATAAAGAAAGAATGCATGAATACTTGGAATAAAAAAGCTTCTCCAAAAACTACATAAACTCAATGAGAATGCATATATATTGGAAAAAAGAAACCTCTTCCTCCCTCCCTCCCTCTCTCTCTACCTTCAGCATTTACTTTGCATCAGAAACATTGTGAAATATCAACCTATAACTAACCAATACAGAAACCCCGGTCTCTCTCCGTGGTCTTGGGAATGAACTGGATACAGGCCTAACCATTGGCATTTATTTTGCACAAAGTGGCTGCTCTCAGACTTGAACCTGCATTCTCACTTGTACATGTAATCTATGGTTGAGTAGTAGTATTTGGCATTGGTGGAGCTGTTAGTCAGTAGCTCTTCTGTAATCATTATACATCCCTTTGCGTATATATCTTCTGTTTGGCATCTGACACAATCTCTAAAGTTCCCTTTTTCTTAAAATAAAATGAAAAACAGATATCGCTCATATAGTAGTGAACAATTGAACAATTGAAACCCTTTGGTGTTGAAACATTCCCATCAAACTAATTCCCTAGAATCAAAAAATAACTAACATAATAAAAAAACAAATATCTTCTGGAAGGATGATGAAGATAATATGTCATATAGAAATAGACACCATTTCAAAAAGAAAAAAGAAAAAAATAAATAAATAAGGAAAAAAGCTTAATCACCAAACCTCAGATGAAATTCTCGCTCGAGATATAACATCGTCTCGAAGCAATGTCTTCAGCACCTGCATATGCAAATATATATATGTATATAAGAAAATCACATTTGGACCAAAAACTCCCTTTAATTGTATACAACAGAAAATCACTAATATGGAATGCCGTTCTTGCCTCTGGGAATGGGGACTCTACAAAGTATCGGTTCTTCTTCAGCACGAGCTTTACTTTTCCATAATTGGCAGTAGAAGCATGAATGAAATCAATCATCTCCTTGGGGAGCTTTGTTTTCGACAATTTATTTAAGACAGTGATAACAGTTTCTGTCTCTAGTCCAACCGATACGGCAGCATACAGTGAGTGGGGTGTAAGGTTGTATTCATGCATTGATTCCGGCCTTTGCACCACAAATATATACAAAAGGGTCATATGAAGTACAACTCAAATAAACAGATGATATGGCTCCTCATAGAGAAGAATTGGGATATATGATAAGAGAAGCTAACTGCAAATAGCAGGAATAGGGCATTTTTGAGTTGAGTATTACGACGTATTACGAAACTTAATTGGTAGCTTTGTAAAGACTACGACGAACACGAATAATTATTACCTGCAAACAGGCTCGGCAATGGCGATGAGAAAATCATAAGCTTGTTTGTACAAGGGCGAGAACGTTTCAAGAAAGATCCGACCATCGGCGCAAGCCCATAATGGACGATTAGCATGATCAGGCTTCAGTTCTAGCTTAGTGAAATCCCTCTTTTTTGTTTCTTTTTCGCGTTTGATCGTCCATTCAATTCACCCAAAATCAATTAAAGTGCTGCTAAAAGAAAAATTAAAACTTGAAATCGAAAATGAGCAAAATACCATCACGACTATCTTCGTCGAAATCTTCTCCATAATAAGCATCTTCGTCTTCAACAAATGCGTTCCGGTGATCCTCCTATAAATCGAATAATCTTAGAATCATTCAAAATCAGAGAAAGAAAGACTGTACGAACAGAAAAGGAAAGGCGAAGAACCTTGGATGAAGATTTATGCCTTTTGCTGGGCCGACCTTTTTCACCTGAAGAAATGCGAAGATTAGATTGATCGAAAGTCGTACAAGAAGAAGAAAATTCTAGGGTTTAGAGATCGAGAGCAGAAGAACGTCATACCATGAAACCCCATGGTTCCGAATCTAGGCTCGTCGGCGATCTGATGGCGCGAATTTTCGTGCAGTTGCCTTGTTCGTTAGAATGACGAGAGAGAGAGCAGTTACTTGCTTGTAACTTGTAAGGGGAGTAGGCTTTGCTACGCAAGAGTTAAAATACACGGTCGGCTTTATTAACCGCCTCTGGCACCAACCCACTTGGCGACTGAACATAGAGTGTGTCAGGCCCTGGCCCGCACCCGGACCCTGGACCCGGGCATGGGGTGCGGACTTGGCCGGGCCCGGGAAGTCCTTAATACTGTTCATAGCCTATAAAAACTAGGCCCGAGACCGGCTCGAGCCCAGCCCGAGCTCATGATTCATCCGTATCCTACAATAATGTTTTGAAAAATTTCATGATCCTTATATTTAGGAATTGTCTCAAGTCAGTTACCAAACTTCAAAATGTGCTGTTGCATTACCTAAACTTACAAAAAACTATCTAATGGTTTTTATCCTTTATAATCCGTCAATTATCTATATTAGATAATGACATCTGTCATTTAAAACTTTTAAAAATATCAAAATTACCCTTCAAAAGAATATATTATTCATTGTCTTTTACCTTAAAACTAAACCGTCACGAGAGATCCAAGATACCAATTTGCATAACGCTTCAGCTTTAGACTTCACTTTTCCTTCTACCCATGCCACCACTATAAATAAAGCTAGAATAGGTGCATAGGCCTTCTGGAGGAGAGTACAGAAAAACTCAGTTGGAAGATCGAACAAGAATGGCCATTGGAGCTACTCCAGGGTTGCCCTCGCACATCTTCTCCGACTGCATGGTTGACTGCAGCTTGGAAAGTGAGTGGAGGCCCTACCACCGCAACTGTGATCAATTTGATCGATTTCCAGTGATCAATTTGTACATTCATCAAAGGCCTACTATTGCAAGGCATTTGAATTTTCAAGCAAAAAGGTCAGATTTTTTTTCTTGCTAAAGGAGAGTTAGAGTTGGGAAGAGATCAAATGTTTTAATCCAATCGGGAAAAGATATACATAAACTTGTATTATTGTTGCACAAAAATATATGATTGAGAGAATTAGAACCATCACCAATAAAGTATCAAAAATTCAAGGGGTCATTTGGCAAGTCTGTTTAGGAAGATCTTCTGGTAGCTCTGAGAGTCAAAAGATGTATTAAGCTTTTGCATTAAGATCTAAGCAGCATAAAGCCCGTTTGATTAAGGTGTGTTTCCGTGCAAAGACGAATAGAAAAAAAAATGCAAAAGCTCCATTTGGAACTTCCCGAAAATCACCTATTTTGAGCTTTTCATGTCTTTTTGGCATGTCAGCTTTTGGCGGCTAAATCTACTATGAACCAAATGAGAAAATACCAAATCACAGTTTGTTGGGCTTGCTGACAGGCCACGCAAAAGGGGAAGAGGAGGAATTAAGGGAAGGCTAGAAATGGTTAGATAGAAGGGTAGGAGCATAGATGAATGGTCTATTATATCAATATTTTATTACAATTTACAAATCAAACTTAGTATCATGTTGTCCAAAAATTAAATACATGAATGATCAATGATCAAACTTGTATGTACTTCTTTCTTTTTTTTTTATTTTTTGTTTCATTTGTCCTTGTGTTTAGCAGTGGAGGAACCAGGATCTTAGTGGGAGGAAGTGATCGGAACTAGTTATGAGGCTTCCACTGAACCATTTCCGGTGAAACCTTCAACACCTACCTAGTTTCGTCATCAATTTCAATCTACTGGATATTTAGAGAGAACCATTTTCTTTATTTGGTTTTTCATTAGTTTCCTTCTTGGCTGATTACTATTTAGCCACCCAGTTTGTGTTGTTTTCATTTCCTTTTTCTACTCAGTGGATTGGTAGATCGATGAACCTTGAATCTTAATAGGGAGTCGATTTCCATCTCATTCAGTCTATTAATGTATTATTTATGCATTCTATATCCTAACACTGTTGATAAATGACTGTGTCATGGACATAAGAAAGAACCATTCAGTATCAATAACCTCATCATCCACCGTATCATCGGCAAAAGGTGGGGCACCATAGTTTTGTTTACTAGAATCAAGATTTAAACAGAAGGAGTTTTGTTTAGATTGGTTTATGCGGAACTAGCAGATAAAGAAAATGATATGACACCTGATGGGTATTTCATTTCACTTATTCGATAACATCTATTAATGGATAGGGACCTATTAGACACATTCTGAAAGTTCAAATACTGTTGAGACACGTCAGTGACTGACTTGACACAACCCCTAAAGTTTAGGGTATTGATCAAGAATTTTTCTTAATGTTTTCTATTATTGGTGTTGCCCAAGGATTAAAGTATCGGTATCGAGGATCATATCGGACAACTTGGATATGGATACGCTTTGGAAACGCATGGATACAAACAAAAAATATGAATACACTAGGGTAACACATACAAATTTTGTAATGCATTAATAATATTAAATTTAAGGTCAAATAATCATAAATAATGTATAAATACATAGAAAATGTATATTTTAATGGTGAATATGAAAAAAATGTATTATAATTAATATAATATGATGCATAGATATCATACAATTTTATTGATAATGTATCAATCAAGAGTCCAAAATGCAAAATATATTTTCATATTATATTTTAATTATTATATCAATTATTTTCGATTTTACTATTTTTACTTTATTACATTAACAAAAAGGTCAACCAAATATTAAATTCTCTATGTAAGTTAAAATGTCCATTAATAATTTATAAAATGTGTAATCTCATCTTAAAATATATAAAATCTATTAAAATTTCTAAGATACATATCATATGCAAATTCACAATTTTTTACTTTTAAAATGATTAATCCATTATTATATTTTTATTCCTATTTTTTTTTAATTAAAAATCTTTTTTTTGTTATAAATGTAGATTAGTAGATTTGATAGGTCCAATTTAAGATTATATTCTTGAATATTTTGTAAACAATTTCTTTATTTTATAAATAATAAATATGATTTTATGTAATGTAAATTAATATATATATCATGTTCAAATTTATAAATTTTAAGTATTAAAATAATTATTTTCAAATTAATATTATATTTTTATAAATTTTTGAGATTCAAATAATGTTTTGATATAAATATGGATTTGATATATTATTTATTTCTATTATTTTATAAAATACTGATTTTAAATATTAATTTTTAAATTTTGAATTGGGATTAACTGTAATATATATACTATTTATTTGAATTGCATTTAAGTAATAAAGAAATAAAAGCTATATTCATTTATTCATAAACACAAAAGGCGGAGTGGTGTGGTGGCATAGAGGCGTAAATGTTAAGATCTCCCAACTCTTGATGCAAGTTTGAATAATTCCAACTTTTTTTTTAGAATAGTATGTGCATTCACGTCTCACAAGTAGCGTATCGTTCTATATCAATCTGTATCAATATGTATCGGTTGATACAGTGCGATACAGACCAATACACACCCATATCGGCCTGGTACGCACGACTGGTAGGATATATCTCCAATCGTAGTGTATCCTATACCGGACACTAACGATACCGATATGATATGCCCCACATCGGACATATCATATTGATATTTCAACCCTGTGTCACCTCAATCCCATGTGTCAAAGAGGTTGGTGGTTTTTAGGCATAGGGGTGGCTTTTATCAAATCTATAACATAATCAGGATGAATATGCTTGAGAGGAGTTAGATTCCAATCATGGTTGTGAATTAAGATGCTTATTTTTTGTAGGGTAGTAGTGGATGTTGATTCTATGTGTTTTGATGATAATAAATTCATTGAGATTATTAATGGTGTGTTAAGTTTGTAGCTAACTTAAACAAGTTTCTCCGAATTATAATTGTATTAAGTAGACTTGTTAATGAAGATGAAAAGTGGAAATATTTAGGACTGCAAGTCGGGCCAGGTTAGGTCAGGTTGAGACCAATCCTAGCCTAAACCCTAAGTTCTAAACCCCCACCCTAACCCTAACAAAATTCCTTCAACCCTAACCCAGCCCGAAGTCAATTTCGGGTTGGGTTGGGCTCGGATTGGGACCAACCCAACCTTCTTCCCATCCCTTAAAACCTCATAGAATTTCTCGGTTTTAGATCTTAACTCATCTTTCACTACATATATTAATCCTATGTTTCATTAGTATTTGTTTGTTGACGTTTTTTTTTTTTTTTTTKTTYTTTTGGTACAAAATTMARAAAAACAAGTGTTAGAAATGACTATGGTTTATTATGAGTTATGGCTTACAATAGATCTTTCTTGGGCGGCAAACAACATAGAGGAGATGAATAAAATTTTCAAAAAGCATAAAATAATGTTATTAAGGTTTTAGTCTTTCTGATTAGGATTAAGTGAAGTGATTATCTTAAAAGAAATACAAGATACTATGTGGTGAGGCTATACAAATATCATGCATCTAAACAAATCAATGTAAATTATATATTACATATAACATATATTTATATATTACATGTACTATAGAGTCGGGTTCGGGTTAGGTGGGGTTGACTAAGGGGTCAACCCTAACCCAACTTGAAGTAAAGTTGGGTTCATGAATTTCAACCCTAACCCTAACCTAAACATCAACCCGAGCCAACCTAACCCAACTTTTTTGGGCTGGGTTTGGGCCAACCCGACCCAAGTTGCAGCCTTAGAAATATTGCTTGATTCAGTTACCTAAGCCTCACATTTCCAACACCAAATGACCTCTTCAATGAGGATGTTCCAAGCAAATTCTACTAAGGAAAGGCCAAAAAAATTCAAAAAAAGCTTTGGAGCTACTCAAGAAGTTCATTGCTACAACTCAACAAAGAGGAAAGCCAATCCTCATAAAGATCCTCATGAGACACGTGGTGAAACCCCAGTGGCGCACTTAATAGAGATCCTCATCGTATTGAAATTCAATCAGCATCCAGTACTCGAGCACCCTTTGGCTTTGACTCCTAGCACCCTCAACCCGAAAACCAATCTCCCTACTCCCTGGCCTTTCTTTGTCTTTCAAAGAGACCATTCCCCATCCAAGCCTTACCCCACCTATAGTAGAATCTCTGGTTCAGTCTTTGATCACAGAGAATGGCCTCATAGAGAATCA